ATTATTAAAGAGCAGCCATTATGCACATTATATTCGTTTGGGTTTCTACTGCTTCTAAAAATAAGAAATTCAAAGAAACAAACACCCAGCTAGTTTATGGAAATGAGGAAATGTTTTTAGTGTCTGGAAAATAAGCCATTTCAAAAACCTCCAGAATTTAATGTTACAAGTCAGCAGCAACTGTGCCGTTGCCTAGCAACCGCAGTGAAACCCAGCCCGTTACCTAGCAACTCAAGTAGAACTAGTCAAACTGCCTGATGTTTTCTGTCAGAAAAAACCTCCAGAAAACATCAGGCAGGATTAAAAATGGTAAGATGAAGTATGTAGTTTTAGGCAAGGGATCAATAAGGATTCATCCACACTTAATCCCAGGTCAAATGGCTAAAATTACGCACACATTAGATTATCATTCCCAGCCTTTTAAAGATCTGTTCACTTGTGGCATCGAGAGAGGAAAAAGGTGAATATTTTCTTTTGTTCTTCTCATCTGCCCAAAGAAAAACCTCCAAGGTGTCATTAATCAACATGAACCGTTTATGTTCCTCCCATATCAGCAGAAGGAACTGCCTCTTTCCTGTTTTGACTCCTGTGAGCCCAGTTGGAACCACAGAAACGTCCAACCTGCACTAGTCTTATCTGAATTTGCGCCAGCCCCTTTGGTTTGGGAGTGTTTGTGTGTTGATAGAGCTCCCCTCATGGCCTTTTGTCCACACATATTTTAGATCTCGGCATGTCTGGCTCTGCTAGCCAAACCCTGACCTTATGTCTGCGTGCTAACACGGCTCTGTGTGCGAGGAAGCATGCGGTGAGTCACTGCTCCTCCTGACGGACACAGTTTGGCTCATGTCATCTGCTAACCAGATTTGGAGGCTCATGAAAGTCCAGGGCAGAAGGTCAGGCGTGGAAACAGGCCCGCCGCCGTGTAAACATGACGTTAGTTGGTGCGGGTTACAGCCTGATGAGGCTACGCTTCATTAGATCCAAGCTAATGAAGCAAAATGTGCTGTTTCTCATCTTTAAAGCCAACAATGGAAACTTTTGTATGTCAGTTGTTCTGCTTTCTGTCTCCATTTAAAAAAAACAAACAAATATATCAGATTTAATCCCAACTATTTACTTCAGATACAATGACTGTTTTGTTAGTTTTTAAGAGAAATTTTGAATAATTTCTGCTCATTTAAAGACAGCAGGTTAACTAAATATCAGCTCAGTAGTCATAAGTTAAACTAAACTAAAAAAATCAACTATTTTTTGCAGATAAACTGAAAATAAATCGGTAATTACGGGTGCTGTCTTCATGTTTGTGGGTAAATGTTCCCCATCCAACCTGAGTCTTTCTATGATTCATCTTTTCTGAAAGCAGTCGATTCATCCTGTCATTTGTTCATGATCTAAACACTCCAGCTAAACATCTCATGTTGGGGGAGTATCTTTATCTTCGGCCTGGGATTTCTCTTTATTTAACACCTGATGCCACTGCTCTGGAATCCAAAATATATCCCCTAATCTGTCCTCCGTCCATATTCTCTAATCCATATCCTAAAAAGGCCCGGAGAGGTGAAGGTTGGATTTGGATGAGGGGTCAGCGGTGGTCTGGGTCACAGCGGGGTATAAATGGGCCTCCATAACACACTGATGCTCACGGTTTGATGCTCTGTGGACCATAAAACTCAACATTTCCCTCCCTTCCTACCTGATTGGAGCCAAACATGACTTTCTACAGGCATTCAGGTAAAAATTAATGAGTTTTTAAACAAAAAATTGGAACTTTATGTTCTTTATTTATTTGTGTTTCCCTAAAAGAGGAGTATGTTCATCTAAAGCCCCATCATCCCAGTTGTTTCTGTGTTTCTACTATATGTTTTATATTTGAAATGTACCTATGTATTATTGTTTTATTCTATTATTTGACTTGCCTTCCAGAGTTGCTATTTTTTACATTTTGTCGTGTTTTCTTTTGTGCACAAAATGAATTCTGATATTTCAAAATATCAGACAAAAGAAATCAGAAAGAATGTGTTTTCTATGTTTATTCTCATTCAGATCAACATTATTATACCAAATTAAAGTTTCCAGCATAGCTGCATTTTTAGATTAGATTTTATTCCCAGCTATTTGTGAGAGCTCATTGTTGAATTTACTCTTGGAAACTACTACTGGGTCTGATTCTAATGAAAAGAGAAAATCTACATAAACAAAAATAATCTGAATTTAAAGATAATCTTAGTTTGGTTGATGTTTAGAAAACATATAAATGTCACAGAGATTACATGTGGCAAAACTTTAAAGTCAAAATATATCTGTTTCTCTTTATTGGAGGGAAATAATTAGTCAGGTTATGAATTAATTGTTTTATTTTTCACTGCAGCATTTTGCATGTTAAATCTATTGTTTACTCGTTTTTACGATGTGGTTTAAACTATTTCTGCCACACAAACGCGCACCGACGCACAAAATTATACAAAACCGTTTTCTAGTCAGCAGGTTCAATCAGTTGACCATAAAACTGGAACATTATTTTTCATTAAATGACCGACATTGATTTATTCCTGACAGGAACAATGTTTTTAATACCTGGAGTTCAGATTAATTTGGATATATTTAAAATACTCTCATAAAATGCAGTAAATAGTTGGTAGCAAATATATTTCACTGAAAATATTTGAAACTAGGGAAGCAAAGCTCTCCAGGTTGTGGCCTTGAGACACTTTAAGACATTTTTATATGGGGTTTAAGTATTTTTTAAATTCCAGTTCTGTCATTTGTTTGAAAAGCTATGTCTGAAAAGCTTCTGTTACTTGAGATTAAAATAAAAAATGTCTCTAGTTACATTCACTCAATTACATTTATTTGATTAACTTTTTAAAATTAGTTTTAGGAGTATTTTTACTGCATTGTACTTTTTACTTTTACTTGAGTAACTTTATTATGAAGTATCTGAGTAAAATTTCTGGATTTTCTGGTGATTTTTTTTTAATCTTGCCTGATTTTATTGTTTTTTGTTGTTTTTTTTGTTGCTTGTAAGAATTATTGTCATTTTCATCCTAAAAATACCAAAATATGACTTGACTTTATGTTTTCGTCGACCTGCCGTTGTAAGTTTTTAAATATTAAACGATTGATCATTTGATCAGTTACTCTGTACTTGATTAGACTTTTTACCAAATACTTTGTACTCGACTCATTTCTTGAACGGCTCCTCTCAACTTTTACTAGAGTAAAAATATGTTGACGTAGTGCTGCTCTTATTTTAATACACGTTTCTGGCTATAAGTGATGAATCTGCCAGAACTGGAACAATATTAAGGAATTACTGACTTACATGAAGCTCTTATATCTTCAGAAAAGTTACTTGTAAATCAATTTCATCTTATTTCAAGTATATCAAGCTATTTGAACCAGAAACTAGACAAAAGTACTTGGTAAGATTTGGTGATTTGCAGTGTATGTGCAAAACATTCAACCATAATAAATGAAGATGCGGCTGGTGAGTTGGTGATGGGTCTGGCTCCGGTCTCTGGTCCCACTGTGACCTTTTCCACTGCAGAGGTCGTCTGTCCACAGGGACACAGTTTTGATAATCCCGTCCTTCCACAGCTGAGGGTGAGTGGATACCATCTCACTCGTTTGTTTGACAGACGGCAGCTGCCACTGTGTTTGCAACAAAGATTAAAGCTGCGCCAACAATAGCTGCTTATCCCCCTGCGGGCCTTTCAACATTTTCCCCACTTTGGGAGGTTCTTTAAATAGATCCGCTGAGCGGCTCGGCTCGGCAGAAGCTTGAGTTGGTTGGACAGGTTGGGTTATTTCTGGGTTCCCTCTCTGCTCGTTATCCCTGCAGCAGCACAGCTGCACATTGCTGCACCAAAACCTCTCCCATCCATCCGTCCGTCCGTCCGTCCGTCCGTTCACACACAACAGAGGGACATGCCGCGCTCCAGGAGGGGGCTGTTTACCACATCCCATTAAAATAGCTTCATAAATATTTGTCTTGTTCCCATGGTTACTAGGACAAAATGTCATCCACCCATTGTTTCCTGCTCGGTTCCTGTTATTGCTATCAGATCGAAACATCTGCGGCTGCAGGTAGCTATCAGCTGAGGGAGAGATCGATCAGCCTTCTGGAAATCAGAATGAAGAATAAGCCGAGTTGTTTACCGAGTTCAGAGGAGGCCAACAGATAAAGATTAACGCAGCACAAGAAGCCGTCCGTGTGAGCCGGTTTACCTCATTCGCACCTCTGTCATCAGTTTGGTATGCCGCCGCAAGCGAACACATGGTCCTCGTTTCGCCTCAACTCCCGGTTTCACTTCAGGAAATTATTCTGATAACTCAGAGACTTGGTCAGTACTTACATCTACTCAGTTACTTTTACCTGAGTAACTTTTTAAAATTACATTTAGGGGTATTTTTTTTACTGTGCTGTAGTTTTTACTTTTACTTGAGTAACTTTATTATGAAGTATTTCTACTCTTACTTGAGTAAAATATCTGGATTTTCTACCCACTGAATAAAAATTAAACATGTTTTGACCAGAAATTCACCATAAAAGTTTTATTAGTTTTTTTATTGAAAGAAACTGATTTGCCTGATTTTATTATTTTTATTTATATGAATTATTGTAATTTTTGTCCTGAAAATACCAAAATTTCCACTTAACTCCATATTTTGTTCCATCTGACGATGTAATTTTTAGATATTAAATGGTTAATGTTTTGATCAGTTACTTTTTTTAATTTCTTGGGCGGCTGCTTTTTACTTTTACTTGAATGTTGAAGTATGTTGAAGTAATGCTACTTTAACTAGAGTACAATTTGTGGTTTGGTAAAGTATTAATATCCTTTAATGCTGCAGCTACAAACCTTGATGTATTTAATTAGGCTTGTATCAGACAGACCAACACAAATAGAAGCATAATTATTAAAGAGAATAAAAGCTTCTTTTTGGACATAATTGCGCCCCCTGCATTTTGATTTAACCCTTCACTGACTTTGCTTCAGGTCCCAGGAGTTACCTCACCTCCACCATGACTGATCGCTTCGACTGCTACTACTGTCGCGACAACCTGCACGGTAAGAAGTACGTGAAGAAGGATGAGAAGCACGTTTGCACCAAGTGCTTCGACAAACTCTGCGCCAACACCTGTGCAGAGTGCCGACGCCCAATCGGAGCCGACTCAAAGGTAAGAAACGACAGATTTTACATGATCAATTAAAATAAAATAGAGCAAAAAGAATAAAACTTACTGAGAACTGTGGAGTATTTTTGCTTGCTCTGATCAAACAAACTAAAGCTCAAAGTGGATGAAACTAAATACTGGGAAATCCTGGTGGCTGACGTTCATTTTCCTAAACGTACCACCATGAAAAAAATCAATTCAATCAATAATTGTGATCAGAATGGCCAAGTCAAAGTACAGGCTTAAGAAGGCTGGTTGTCCTGGATTTTACTCACAGGAATCCCAGGAAAGGCGAGCAAATACTTCTGGAAAACCATCAAATTATCGTCTATTTCACAAATATGCTCTGTCACATACACTGAAACACTATTAAATTAAAACTAACTTTTCAGCAAGACATCGGAGTTTGTTTTAAGTCAATGGTTCCTTAATATTTATGAAAAAGTGCATGTTCCACAGATGGAAGATTATTTCATTCATAGGAAGATTTTTTTTTCCCCATATAAGCTCCTATATGTTGCTAAAAGATACGTTTTATCTCAGTACACTTAAAATAAGACAAAACTAACTGGCAAGTAACTTTTTAGCAGGATATAGAAGCTTGTTTTGAATAAAAAGTTCCTGATTTTAATATTGACACACAACAAAATGTAATTAGACTTTATGTTGTTTTTATGACTTTTTATTTTTGTGTTTTACTGACATAAACCTGATTGATAATGTTGATGGAAACTTACTAGATCCACTGGCAAATTGTTAATTTTTCATCAATATTAGGGAATTATTTACTTAAAACAAGCTCCTATATGGTGCATGTTAGTTTTGTCTTAATTCAAGTGTACTGAGATATTTGCACCATAGAAACTAGACCAAAAATACTTGGTAACGCGCTGTGTTTTTGCAGTGTAAAAGTTTGATGATATCTGCAGGATGCTTTCTAAACTTACACCTCTTTGTGTTTGTTTAGGAGCTGCACCATAAGAACCGCTACTGGCATGAGGATTGTTTCCGGTGCGCTAAATGCTACAAGCCGCTGGCTAACGAGCCGTTTAGCGCCCGAGACGATGGCAAGATCATGTGTGGGAAGTGCGGCTCCAGGGAGGACGGCAACCGCTGCCAGGGCTGCTACAAGGTGGTGATGCCAGGTGGGTCAGTTTAAACCAGATCTTTGGGCAAAGGAAGTTAATTCCAATTTCTATTCTTGAATCTATAAAAAACAGACATTAAAAAAAGTAGTTGGTGTATGAATACTTTAAACACAAGAAATGAAACCTTGTCTTGGATCAACTGAAGGAGGAGGATGCAATGGGGTATTAGGGCCATTATAGAGACAAGAAAACAAAACGGAGGAAAAATTCAAACATTTTGAGATTAATCTCAGAAGTTTTGTAGAAATTTTTCTTTTTAATTTCTGAAATTGAAAAGTTGAATATCTGCTAGAAAAAAATTCTTACATTTTTAGACTAATATCAGAAATTTTGTAACTTTATTTTTGGAAGTTTCAGAGTTTGAAAAGTTGAAAATCTGCTCGAATAAAATTCAGAAAATTTGAGCTTAATCTCATAGAAAAAAGGAAAGTCAAACATTTGCTGGAAAAAAAAAATCTTAAAAATTCTCTAGAAAAAATAAATAAATAAAAAATTTCCAGTCAAAATTTTTTAAGTAAATTTTTGATTGATTAAGCTCAGAAATTTCCAAGATTTTCTCTAGAAAATTTCTCAGACTAACCTAAAAATTGAATAATTTTTTGATGAAAATTTACTCATTTTTTCCCTTCTATCAACTCTGACCTCTGGGTCTTTGCTGACTTTAATGTGACATTTAGGTACATTTCATCTGCTGCAGATCTTCTTTGCCCAAGCCTCACATTTCATCTTTTGTCTCCTAATTATTTTAGTTTTAATTTTATTTCAGGCTGTAACCAGTATATAGTCATGTTCAAATACATGAAGTGAACAGAATGAGTCCAAAAACAGAAAACAGGCATCATCCAGAAAAACATTATAAAAACGCAGGTTCTTTAAACGCACTACATAAAGTCTGAGCAGTCGCTGTTTTGTGCTTCAGGCTCGCAGAACGTGGAGTATAAGAACAAGGTGTGGCATGACGAATGCTTCACCTGCTTCGAGTGCAAGCAGCCAATCCGCACGCAGAGCTTCCTGGCCAGAGGCGATGACATCTACTGCGCTCCGTGCCACGAGAAGAAGTTTGCCAAGAAATGCTTCAAGTGCAAGCAGGTATGAAGCCAGGTTGTTGTTGAGGCTTTCGGAGCTCAGCCTTGTGACCAGCATGCTGCTCTTACAGCCCATCACCTCTGGAGGGATCAGCTACCAGGACCAGCCCTGGCACTCGGAGTGCTTTGTGTGCGAGACGTGCCGTAAACCTCTGGCAGGAACGCGCTTCACCTCCCATGAGGATCACGTTTACTGCGTGGACTGCTACAAGACCGACGTGGCCAAGAAGTGCCATGGCTGCAAGAACCCAATCACAGGTCGGACCGGAGTCTAATGTTTGGTCTTTATTTAAAAAAAATAAATAAATAGAGACTGGGTTTGAACCGAATCTAACCCTGATTTTAATTGAGAAAGTTTGCCAGCAGAAGATTAATAATAATTTACTGCATCTTTTCACAGTATTCCACTTTGTTTTAAAGAATAAATTACATTTGTGTATTTTGGACAACTTCATCTGCTTTTTAAATACTTAAAATCTTAAATCATGTTGTTCTGTAGGTTGTTTCAGTCCAAAAACCCCCTGAGACAAACTTAAAACAAAATATTAACAAAATAGAGAATCCCCGAGAAAGTTTTCCTAATTCATTCTGTTTTGGTATTTTTATTCATTAAATGCTCTCTGTGCAAACTAAAACTTTACTTTGAAATTTCCTTTAATTCAAACCAACACGATCACATTTAATACGTTAGAAAATCAAAAGTAGGAGAGTTTTCTATGTTATAATGTAAAAATTGACAGTTTCTTTAGTCAGGCTGGTAAAATATTAGGAAAAATATACCATTATTCATTTTTGTCTTTTTCCATTGCAACAATTAAAACTTGAGCCAGATGTCAGAAATAAGGGCAGTAAAATCACTAAATAAAGTCTAAATACATGGAGGTATTAATCTATCTCACCATATGCTGCTCTTATTGCACCTTTTCACACATTTATATTGAGAAACTGTTTGCAATTAACTCTAAATTCTCATTATTTTTAAGATAAAGTAAATCACTAGGATACTGAAATAATTCAAGAAATAGATAATTTATTTTTTTTAGCAGAACCTACAGTAAAAAAGCTCCAAATATTGTAAATATTGGGATTTAAATTTCTCCATTAAGGCTTAAAAAGAAGCATTAATGTCTGCTTTAAGATCCCAACCCAGATGTGTTAATTTCGACAGCGTTGGTGTTTATTTTTCCCGTAAACTGAAGTTGCCCACGTCTGCTCTCCAGGGTTCGGCCACGGCACCAACGTGGTGAACTACGAGGGATTCTCCTGGCACGAGTATTGCTTCACCTGCAAGAAATGCTCCCTGTCCCTCGCCAACAAGCGCTTCGTCATCAACGCAGAGCAGATTTACTGCCCCGACTGCGCCAAGAAGCTGTAAACAGAAGACTTTTGATTCACGAGGAAACTGATTTGTATGGAAGACAATTAGGGCCACCAAAAAAAATTACTTTTTTTCCTCATAATTCTGTTTCAAAATTTAAATATCCAAACATTTGTGTCAACTATGTTAGCATATAAAAATATTCTTGTTATAAAGTTTGTAAATCTGCACTTTATCCACACTGAAAGCCTGTCTCAAATTTCTTTGATAGATTTTAATTTTAAGACTAGAATTGCAAAGACAATTCGAACATTTCTAACAAATTTTCAACTTTTAGAGCGCAAGAAATTTCCCGTTTTTTTTTCCTAAAACATTTCTGAGATTCTGAAAGTCAGAATTTCTGAGGAAAATGTTTTTTAAAAAGTCAGAATAATGTTTTTAGTGGCCCTAATCCTCTTCTGCAGCTTTGAGTTCAGTTTGTGACTCAAACTGAATTATTTCAGAAATAGGATGCATGCAGTTGTATTTTTTTTTGGCGAATCAAGATGAGACTCGAGGTTTCTGCAATCTGCTTTTGCACTAAAGTTTCCGATCTTCAGCAATGCAACATGTCTCAGTTTCTGGAGTTCGTCTCCAATATGGCAGCAGAATTTACAAAGTGGGATTATAATCTGACGTTTTTAGGGATTATCTCTTGCCTTGTGTTTCTAACGTAACTGTAGTGCCTTAAAGGAATCATTTCTGGATGAGATGCTTTTATCCTGCCAGTTGCTGCTCAAGCATAACAGCTTTGATTAATAATATGTTACATGTTAGGATTTTTGGCCTTGTGATCCATGCAGAATAATCTGACGAGGTATTAGGGCCACTGTGGATAAAAAAGGTGCATTTCTACCAAAAACTTAGAAATTTTCAGATTAATCTCAAAATTGGGATTTCTAAAATGTATGAATTTTCTAGAAAAAAGTTGAAATTTCTGAGTTTCAAAAGTAAAAAAAAAAAAAAAAAAAGACATTTGAAATTGAAAATCTCCAAAAGTTGAAAATTTGCCTTTTGAAGCATTTCCAAGTGTTTTCCTAGAAAGTTTCAGTCTCAACATTTTACTCTTTTCTAGCAAAGAAATTGCCAAGTTTTTTTTTTGTAGAAAATTTCTTTCTAAATTTCATTTTTTTTCTTGTAAATTTTCAACATTTGGAGCTCAGAAATCTCCAAGTTTCTTCTCTAGAAAATTTGGGATTAATCTAAAAATTGCCAAGTTTTTTTCTAGCAAATTTTTGACTTTTGGAGCTCAATAAATTTCTGGGGTTTTTTCTCTAGAAAACTTCTGAGATTACTAAAAATTTTTTGAAGGTTTTTGGCAAAAATGTACTCCCCCCATGTATAATAGCCCTAATGCACCATAATAAACCTACTGCGTAGCTAAAACTTGAAGCTTAAAGGAAACAAATAAAAGGATGTATGGAGCTCGTTTGTCTTTTCTTTGGCACAAGAAACAGAATCGCAACGGAAATATTTTCATTTAGACTTTATTGTTTTAACAGTCTGTATCATATCTGTTCTCTTTAGATATATTTACAGTACAGATTTTATTTGCAAACAAGGGCAAATCCTCCAGAGAAATATTTATATTCACAGAGTCGCCCTGGGTGGGTGGACTGATTGTCGAGGCCGAGGTAAAGACACCGTCAACTGTGAGATAAAAACAGTACATCTCAAAAACTAAGGCACCTTTCTATTCTATCAAACATTATATTGAAGACAGAGAGCTTTAAGTTTAGTATTTAGGAGTCCAGAAGAACCGGAAAAAAAAAAAAAAAAATACCTGCGACTACAAACAGGATCTGTCTTTGATGGGGAAGTGGATGGAGTAAAACGAAGAAATGTCAAAACATCGCAGCGTCCCAGTAACGAGTCGTCTGACAGGGCGGAGCGTTTTCCCAAAGACTTCATGAAATGAAAGCTGGAAGCGAGCGGCTCTTAGAGATTTGGTGAGCGAGTGATGAAGGACGGCTCTGTAACATTCACTGAGCTCATTAATCAAAGCTCAAATAATTTAAACCCAGAATGTTTTCATGCACAAAGAGAACAAGGCAAACATCAAGGTCCCCAAACCTCCAGTCTGGATTATTCAAGCAAAGGGAATATAACGTTTCATTTCATGAAAAAAGGAAGGAAAACATGGAAAAGTCGAGTCTGACCAACATTATTTAGTTTGGTGAAAATGCTCCTCTTTAGTACAGTGACAGCTGAAACCTGAGCTGATGTGCCACATCTGTATATAAAACAACTCAGGTCAGAGGTCAAACAAGTTGCTAAAATGGCCCAAAGACGTTTTAGACGGATCTAAAACGGAGATCAACATTAAAACTGCACAGTGGATTAGAGGATTTTCTAACGCAAACGAGCCAAGCTGAGCTAAACCAATCACAGCGCACCACTCAAGCTATAACAGTAACCAATAAGAAAACCCCAATAAACCACAACCTGAGCCGCCTCCTTCCTAAACATGGCTTTACTCGCCTAATACTGATTATATACAGAACATAATAACACTTGCATATAAACAATCCGCCACTTTCTACTCTACCAACGGAGCTGAAATGCATTTTACCAGAAGTAGCAGCAGGTGAGAGAAGGTGAAACTGAGGAAGAAGAGATACCTTGGATTTTTTTATGTTTAGTTTTTATCAGTAATTCACTCCACATAAAAAAACAAAACAAAAAAACAACAGATGCAGTCACATAACTTCAAAAAATCCAAACTATCCCTTTAACAAACTTTGTTGCAGCTGGATGCAAAGATAAAGATAGGAGACTAAAATCAGGCCCGTTAGTGATGTTAGTAAACATTAGTTCTACGCAGAAACACTCAAAATATTTCACCTTTGTGGTTACGACGCCCCCTAGTGGCTGGAAAAGAGAAAACAAGACAGTGTGAGAAAGAGGAGAGAACAAACCCAGATCTATCCCGTGTTTGAGTCACGTCGCCGAACTGTGAGTGCATGAGCTTCATAATAATTATGCATTTTAGCACTTGGAGAGAAAAAAATCCAAAGCTGGGAAATAAAAATAAAAGGTAAGGCCATACATGTAGCTGGGTGCTGCAAAAAGCAGCCGGTCAAGTAAATTTAGAGGAACCACATGCAGAACGAAGCTTTCCACCCGAACCCAGGCAGGAATAACAATGATTATTAACATTTCTGTAGATATTTATCATATAATTCACACGGCCTGACTTTCATGTGTCATGGAATATTCTCATACAAGAGAGAAAAAAAGACTAAACATAATAATTACAATAATAAAGCAAAAAAAAAAAATGTAATAAATTATAAGAACGCACCCCTAACAAAAAGAAAATATAAAAGTTTTTGACACAAAATTGAATTGAAACTAAACACACGAGGAAGAGGAAAGACGAGGAGCATGAAACATTTCCCTGAAGCGTGGCGTTTTATAATATTTTAATTCAATCCGTTTCCTCGTTGCAACGTGGGATGCAACTGCAGCACTTGGGGTGGTCTTTCCGTCTCGTCTTGTGCGCCTCCCGCAGGAAGAGGTGGGAACTGTTTGGAACGGCCGGAAGATTCTTTCAGGGAAGTTTGGAGTGCAACACAAAGAGGCTTCTCCGCGACGGCCCGCAGCATCACATTTCTGCCGGGACGAAACGAGAGAAGAGTTTCAGCCTGCGGGGAGATTAGGCCGAGTCAGCGTTGGTAACTGGGCGAGACGTGAAGCCTCACCTGACATGGCTTCTATGGGCTGACTGGAGGAGTGCAGGGTGCTGATGGGGGTTCCCTTCTCCTCAAAGGCCACCCTGGTCCCATCGGAGCTCCCGTCGCAGTGGATCAAAACCTGGTTGCGGTCCTCGGACTCGATGAGAGGCCGGGCCTTGGAGTGGACGTTGGTGTCGATGAGCTCCTCGAAGCTCCACTGGTTGGACTTCCCGTTGAGGCTGGACACCAAGCCGTCTTTGGTGGAGTCCTCCTCGTTCAGGAACTCTGAGCCCTCGACGAGGCGGCTCGTAGGAACCGGACTGGAGTCGGAGAAAGACGTTAACGGCATCCGAGACTCCTGCAAACCTTTCCAAACTATCCAGCTCCAAGTTCACTTCTGACCCGGATTTAACACGGTTTGCCCCAGAAAACCTGCTGAACCCGGAGCTACGGGGGCCAGGTCCATGTGTTTGAGTTAAAAAATGTTTAAAGTTATCAAGAAATCTGAAAATAAAAGCTGCTACATGTTTTACTGGACCAAGTATTCTAGTTTCTAAAGAAAATGTCCTAGTCGGCTCGAAATAAGATAAATCTAATTTACAAGTAGGAGCTTATTTTAAGTCAACGATTCCTTAATTTTTATTATATCACTTATAACAACATTTTTATGTTTTTTTCCCATGTTACAAGTTAAATAATCTGCCAGTGGAGCAAGAACGTTTTCATCAATGTTAAGGAATTATTGACTGAAAACAAGCTCTGGTTAAATTATTTTGTCTTATTTCAACTGTCCTAAAATACGTGAACTAGAGACCAGACCAAAATTATTTGGTAAGATTTGGTGTTCAGTGTAATTATGAGTTATTATAAGACATTAACACCTAAACAACAGATGTAAAGTCTTACAAAAGGCAAACGTAAAAAAAGCATGCAACTAAAATGTTTTGACTTGTCACCTGGTGTAGACTGTTAAAAACAGGAAGTGGTTACAGATTCTGGTGAGTTAAAAAAAGACACCTGGCCTCCGTTTCACACTGTGTTCACACACTGAATGTGCTCTTTAACCCAGTTATCACTGTTAATAATAAAAACAATGCTCAGCCTGGTGGGAGGGCAAGTAAAGCCTGGTGGCCCGCCAGGCTGATAATGCATTGTTTAAATAATTTATGTTCAGATGCAGAAAAACTTGTTGAAAAACAGATTCACAGACTGATGGACTTAAAACAAATCTATAGATCTGGATGAAACTTAAATTCCATGATTTTCATAAATTTTTCATCAGCAGGAATGAAGGCTGAGAATCAGACGAACTGCGATGAATCGATTATTAAAATAATTGTCAATCGATTAATCGCGAAATGGAGAATATAGATTTAAAAGAAGTTGAAAGCCATAACTG